CCCCCTCATTACAGTAAAAGGTCCCAGATTCGGGCAGGTTGGGACCAGCCACTGCCCATAACTAGGAATTGACCGTAACCCCCTCATTACAGTAAAAGGTCCCAGATTCGGGCAGGTTGGGACCAGCCACTGCCCATAACTAGGAATTGACCGTAACCCCCTCATTACAGTAAAAGGTCCCAGATTCGGGCAGGTTGGGACCAGCCACTGGCCATAACTAGGAATTGACCGTAACCCCCTCATTACAGTAAAAGGTCCCAGATTCGGGCAGGTTGGGACCAGCCACTGGCCATAACTAGGAATTGACCGTGACTCAGAACATACCTACTTTTAAACACTGCTCGTTCATTAGTTCACTGGTGTTATTAATGTTGTCGTTGCTGTCATTGGTGCTGCTTTTCTGCTCTTGTTGTTGTTGTTGTTGTTATTGTCGTCGTCGTCGTCGGCGGTGCTGCTGCTGCTGTTGCTGTTGCTGCTGTTGCTGTTGCTGCTGTTTCTGCTGCTGCTGTGTCTGCTGCTGCTGCTGCTGCCGTTGCTGCTGCTGCTGCTGCTGTTTCTGCTGCTGTCACTGCTGTTGTTGATATCATCATTGCTGTCGCCATTGTTGTCGTCGTAGGGTATGTCTCGAGCGCATGGTGCCAGTGAGCGACATCGCGGTTCCTTGGACATAGAACCTGGCTCAATATCGCTGGCACAGTCACGCCAAGGAAGTCTGGACAGCGAAGACGTCGAGGAAGTGCCAAGCATCAAGTACGATTTTCTCTGTGTGTGTGTGTGTGTGTGTGTGTGTGTGTGTGTGTGTGTGTGTGTCTTTGTCGGTGTGTGTTTCTGTGTGTATGTGCATGTGTGTTCCTGGTTGTTGGTGTGTCTGTGTGTCGGGGGGGGGGGGGGGGGGGGTACGTGGTGAGGCCGAGGCGTGTGCATGTGCATGTGCCAACGTGCATAGCTGTTTTCACTGCTCTTCTACACGAACATTGCTTTCACACATTTTGCTTCACTTTTCAGTGGGTCGTGCTTTCCACTGGGTGTGAATGCAGTCAGACCTCGCTTATCCGGTCCTCTTTTATCCGGATCCCTCGCCATCCGGAAGAAAATCATTGGTTACCGATTAACAGCATATGCCATGCATACATACAGTATGTGTGTTCGATTATCCGGTTCCCTCGCCTATCCGGATGTTGTTGTGGAAAACGGATGTGTACGGTTATGCGAGGTCTGACTGTACATGCCATGGAAGTAGCCGATAGTTGCCCACCATATGGCTCACAGCCCTTCTTCCTCACGAGTCATGTACATGTATTCATTGCTGGCCTTTTGTTCTTTACCTGCCGGGGCATTGGTCTTTCAACTCTACCCTTCAAACTGATATGTTTCCTTGCGTTGTACCGTGTACAGCCTTTGGTCATTGCTTTGCGTGTATTGTGTTGCGTGCAGGGCCAAGCGCTGGGATGAGACTCTGGAGCGGCCAAACCTCAACTACGAGGAGATATTCAGCGAGGACACCGGCAGGGAGGAAGGCCTGACAATCTGGTCCATCGAGAACTTCGTACCAGTCTACCAAGACCCAGGTAAGCAACAACAGCAGTAGCAGCAGCAGTAGCAGCAGCAGTAGCAGCAGTAGCACTAGCAGTAGCACCAGCAGCAGCACCAGCAGCAGCAACGGCAGTAGTAGCACCAGCAGTAGCAACAGCAGCAACAGCAGCAGTAGCACCAGCAGTAGCACCAGCAGTAGCACCAGCAGTAGCACCAGCAGCAACAGCAACAGCAGCAGTAGCAGCAGTAGCACCAGCAGTAGCACCAGCAGCAGCACCAGCAGCAGCCATGTGCATTGTGGTACACACTGTCTATGTACTATGCAGTGTAGTACAGTTGTCCCGGAAATGTCCTATTCTCGCCCGCTGCACCAATATATCAGATTTGTTAGTCCACCGCCTTCCCTAATACAGCATAGTTTCGTGGCACGAATAGTGGTGAATGATAAAGGGACCACTGTACATGTACTGTGCTATGTGTTGTCGTACTGGTATACTCTGGGGTACTGCTCTTCATGCGCTATACTGCCCCGGTGATCTTGGTAGTGTTGGTACTGTTGGTTATGGTTGGGGCAGGGGGGGGGGGGGGGGGGGGCTGGTGGCGGTACGGGTGATACTAACAGTGACCTATACTACCAGTGGTGGTTATGATGGTGGTGCTGCTGCTGCTGTTGCTGCTGCTGCTGACTCAGTGCTGATTCAGTGCTGGTGTGGCTGCCACTGGTGGTTCAGTGCTGCAACAGCGGCATGTGCCCAACTTGTGTGATGTTTTCATCTAAATCTTTCTATTAATGTGCGTGTGTGTGTGTGTGTACGTGTGTGTGTGTGTGTACGTGTGTGTGTGTGTACGTGCACGCGTATGTGCGTGTGTGATTATTGCTTTCTTTTTCCAGTGTTCTACGGTCAGTTCTACGAGGGCGATTGCTATATCGTGTTGAAGGTGAGCATGGCAGTGTGTGCACTGCAGTTACTGCTGCCTACAGACGTGACGCTGTAATTTCCACCTTCTTTTAGTTTGCTTTGGAGGGTCTGATCTACTCACCTCCCACCACTTTCAAGCTTAGGAGCTGCATCTGCGCCTTGATCCTAGAGGGTGGTGGCATTCCTGCGGATGCGGAAAACTCGGCCTCTGGCCGAGTCTCACGCGAACCATGAATTTTATTTTATTTTTTAGATTGCGCCGCATTTCTTCATAGTGTCCTCTCAGCCCGGCAATTATCTGTTCCCGTGCTGCCACTCAGAGTAAATCTGGGTCATGTGATGTGATATGTGTGCACCCTGGCCTGGATGCGTCGAATGGTGTTGTCACAGACCGCTGTGGTGATGATGGACCCATCTCTGATCCACCGACCACGCACTCTTCTCAAGGGGTGTACCGGTGGTGCCTGTGATCCAAGAGGATGGGGAGGCGCTCTTGTGGATGTGGATGTGGATGCGGACATACACTAAAATGATGTGTAGCGTAACCATTCTAAGTTTATGCTCTCTCCTTATTTCTGCATGTCCTGCTTGTCATCCTTGCAGACCTTCATGGGCAGTTCGAATTCCAGCGAAGTCGATTGGGAGATCTTCTACTGGTGTGGCAAGGATGCAACGGTAAGATCATGAGGTGCCAATCATGCCCTGCCCGGCGTGAGGTCATGATGAGGTCGTGGTGATGTCATAGGGCGTTTTATGTATGCACGTAAGACCTGTCAAGGCGACGAACTGTCGCAGAAGACCACTACAACCAGGACCAAGGGATGCTTTTTCCAGTCAAGTGGCCCTTTTCTAAGAACTCGCAGACTCTGGAATGTTTTCACCCTGAGGATGGGCTGTGCCCGAAAATTTGGTGAATTCAATTATTTATTTATTTTCAAGTGACCCTGGATAGAAAAGACCACCTGCCCACATGGACCACATTTGGAAGGTCACAAAGGTTTCCGGGGTCTTACGGTATCTGTATTTTCTTAGCGCCTGTGAGGTTATCTTTTGAAGAAGAGGTTGGTGCGACTTCGGCGATAGTAGGGGAAGAGTGTGTTGCTCCCTACATGGGAGCTCGCGGTTTTCCTGCCGACTTGAATTCTCACTTGACTGACTCACGACTGCCATCCAGAGCACACGAGAAGTCGAGGTTATCTTTTGTTTCTATATTGTTTCAGATGGACAAGCTGGCATGTGCTGCTATTCATGCTGTTAACTTGAGAAACATGTTGGGAGCACGGGGCCGCACAATGGTAAGTGTATGGGTGTGGGTGTGTGTGTGCGTGCGTGTGTGTGTGTGTGGGTGTGTGCGCGTGCGTGTGTGCGTGTGTGCGCGCGCGTGCGTGTGTGTGTGTGCATGCGTGCACGTGCGTGTGCGCGTGCGTGTGTGTGTGTGTATGCGTGTGTGTGTGTGTGTGTGTGTGTGTGTGTCCGCATGTACACATTTGTGTGTTGTTTATTTGTTTCAGTACTGGCCGGTGCGTTCAACATTCAAGGGTTCCCGTTGATTGACTGTAGCCTTCTCGTCTTCTCGGTTTCTCTTTGTTGTTGTTGTTGTTGTTGTTGTTGTTGTTGTTGTTGTTGTTGTTGTTGTTGTTGTTGTTGTTGTTGTTGTTGTTGTTGTTGTTGTTGTTGTTGTTGTTGTTGATTGACTTTGTGCTGGTTGCTGATAGCGTGAAGAACAAGCAGATGAGAGTCCCGAGTTTCTGGATCTCTTTGACAATGGTGATATCATGTACATTGAAGGTAAGCCTGGCAATCAACACAGGGGAGCGGGAGGGGAGGGAGGGAGAGAGAGGGGCCATATCTGAGGGGTGTGAGTGGGAGTGTTCCGGCCGAAAGGTTTGTGGTGTATCCACAATGTCTTACCTGATTCTGCACGCGTACTACGTAGGTACAGTAAAGTGCCATTGATCCGCCCCTGTCGAATTTCTGCCCGTGAAGCGACTTCAGCGTACACTAGTACTGGAAAGTATGGTGTTAAACCGACACATGCACTGCTGTACACAATACGTGCCAGTGCAGGATGAAAATGTGCACAATCCGGCATGCCAGGCCTGACCTTCGCATTGTACACCGTACTGCACTTGACGGCGTTGATCTAGTTCCCGCCCCCCTGCCGAAAACCCAGCTGGGAAGCGACGTGGTGTGTGTGTGGGGGGGGGGGGGGGGGGGGAGATCAACGACACTTTACAGCATACTTATGTTATGATTGCAATGCTGCTGCACTGTTCCTGTTTGCTTTGTTTTGTAGGTGGTTCAGCCAGCGGTTTCTACACACAAGAGGATCGGGTAAGTTACAGTAATGAGCGAGCATACTGCGATGTGATGTCAAACGCATAGCAGCACTTCGCGTAATGATGGATTCTTCGTGACACACTCCACTGTTTTGTGATTGTTATGGTGCATGAAATCCTTTTCTCCACTCGGATCTTTTCGTAGTACGAGTATAATGGACATGTCAGTGGTTGTCGACATCTACTTCAAAGTAGTGCTTTCCCCGTATTGGCCCTGCTGGTTTGTGTCTGGTGTGCGGCTTTGCGCTTGTGTGTGTGTGCGCACGGTTTTCCCCGTTTTGCTTGACGAATTCTGTGTGTGTGTGTGTGTGCGCGTGTGTGTGTGTGTGCGCGTGCGCGCGAGCGTGTGTGTGTGTGCGCGCACATGCGTGTCCATGTGTTTCTACATGCGTGTGTGTTCAGAGGCGTACAAGTCGTTTCTACCGCATGTCTGGGTCAAAGACGCTGCATTTCGAAGCGGTAAGCGGTTATCGTCACAATAGATCACGCACTGAATGGCGTAGTGTGTACAAGGTTCACATTGCGCCGGCCTTGTGTTTCTTATGTAAATACATAATCCCTCATTTTCCCATTCCAAACGAGTCCCAAATCGAGCTGCCATTTATGGCAGATATTCATTTTGTCTATGAATTGAATACAACTGCGTTCTGGATGTTTTCCTGTCAGAAGTCTTGGCACTGAACTGCACTACAACTTCTGTGGCCAGCATGCTTCTTGTAGCCAGCACGCACTAGTTCACCTCAGTGGGTGGGGGGGGGGGGGGGGGGGGCAAGATATAATGTCAGTATACACACTCTGCTTTTCTTTGCGCAACGTGTGTGTGTGTGTGTGTGTGTGTATGTGTGTGTGTATGTGTGTGTGTGTGTGTGTGTATGTGTATGTATGTGTATGTGTGTGTGTGTGTGTGTATGTGTGCGTACAACATTTGTTTGTATGTTGCAGGTACCAGCCAATGTAAAAGCACTGGATGCTGGCTATGTGTTTATCCTGGACTCGCACAAGGAGCTGTTCGTCTGGTCTGGCAAAACGGTACGCTAGCAGGAAAATACCCTGAGTGGTTTGATACCTCTGGTACTGTCTATAGGTACTGTTTGTCGAAGCCGGTTCACGTGTACACACAAGTGTGCATGTGTGTGTGAACGTGCCTTTGGAATTTTGGATAGTATAATTATGTGTGTTTGTGTGTGTGTGTGAGGGGGGGGGGGGGGGCACGTGCCTTTGCATAATCTATGTGTGTGTGTGTGTGTGTGTGTGTGTGTGTGTGTGTGTGTGTGTGTGCACGTGCCTTTGCATAATCTGTGTGTTTGTGTGCAGTCGTCGCTGATGTGCCGGCAGAAATCACGGTAAGGACATGCACTGCAGTACAGGTACCGGTATATGCCTGTTCGATTTTTGTTCGGATTTTGTTCAGGTTCCATGAAGCTGCGATGTTGGGTAGTGTATCTGGTTTAGAGTTCGGGTGGTGAAGGCTGCCTCTACATGTTCTGATTATGGGGAGGTTCTGCTATACGTGAAACGAAGAGAAATCACGTAGAGAGCAGATGTCTGGGTTAGAGTCTACGGCTTCGCGTGTTTTGGGTCCAGATTTCTACGCGTAGATGAGGTTCTCTACGTTGTGGCACACGCAAAGAAAATGCGTACGGATCTGCTGGGTATCATTCGAGTGCAGGCAGATAACTGCCAAGTATGGAAGGGGAAATTCCCAGTGCACATTCCACGTGACTTCTCTATGTGTGTGTTGTGTTGTGTGTGTGTGTGTGTGTGTGTGTGCGTGCGTGCGTGCGTGCGTGTGTTTCTGCATGCATGTGTTGTCGGCATGTTGTTTCCTTCTAGACTGTTGGCGGAGAAGATCAACAAGAACGATCATAAAGACCAGAAGACGGTGACTGTCTTCCCGAAGGTGAGTGCAGAGAGACACACACTGCTTCAGCGTATCCCTGTCCAGCGACCTGCGCACCGTTTGCGGAAGCTTTTCTATGTGTGGTTGTAACCAGGTTCAATACTCAGAGGTTCCACTGCAGCCAATTCATGATCTCCTGTAATCTCCACCACCATACTCCCCTGATCAAGCCCCAAATGCCAAAATTTGGATTCTAAGTATTTACACTGCAGTCTAAGTGCTGCTGCTGGTGCTGGTGGTGGCGGCGGTGGTGATTCGACCTGACCTAGGTAGTGTACGGCTGGCCCCGAATCCTAGACCAGATACTGCTTGTCCTATGCACTCTTGAAAACACACACCAACTCCACTTTTTACTCACTGGTCTCGGTCATGCTTGGAACTTGCCAGGAATCATTCATTCTTTGCTGTTGCTTCTTTTTGCTGCTGCTGCTGTTGTTGTTGGTGGTGCTGCTACTGCTGCTGGTGGTGGTGGTTGCATTGGTGGTGGCGGTGCTGCTGCTGCTTTGTTGATGCTGCTGCTGTTGGTGCTGTTGGTGCTGCTGCTGTTACTGGTGCTGCTGCTGTTGTTGCTGCTGGTGGTGCTGCTGCTGTTGCTGCTACTGGTGGTGGTGCTGCTGGTGGTGCTGCTGCTGCTGCTGGTGCTGCTGCTGGTGGTGCTGGTGTGGTGGTGCTGCTGCTGGTGGTGGTGCTGCTGCTGGTGGTGCTGCTGCTGGTGGTGTTGCTGGTGTGGTGGTGCTGGTGGTGCTGCTGCTGGTGGTGCTGCTGGTGGTGCTGCTGCTGGTGCTGCTGCTGCTGGTGCTGCTGGTGCTGCTGCTGGTGGTGCTGCTCTTGATGCTGTTGATGCTGTTGTCACTGTTTGTGTTTGCCATGGTGTGCAGGGAGAGCACAATGCAGCTTTCCTTGAGGCGCTCGGCTGGGCTGAGGAGGACGGAGAGCCGGAAATCGAGGTATGGGCTTCTTTTCCACTTGTACATGTGTACACACACACATGCACACGCGTACATACACGTACACACACGCACACACACACACACACACACACACACACACACACACACACACACACACACACACACACACACGGATGCAGCATACCAGCACAATTGCATGTGCACACACATGCCAGGTCCACTTTTTAGCGGCGAGCGATTTCAGCTGTTTTTGCCTCCATGGATTTTTCCATAATGAGCCATTGCTGTGCGATCTTGTATCACTACAATGTCACTCATCAAGGTAATGAAAAGTGAAGTTGTGACAGCCTAAAACGAACTGAAGCGAATAGAAATATGCGATTTCCTAGCGGATTGTTCAGGGCAGTTTTGTGTAGTTATTCACTCATCTCTCACTGGATTGCTGGAGAAGCCGTTCTACAAGACGCGCAAGTCAACGCAGGTGAGTGAGATCAGTGCTTGTCTCTGATGTATTTTCGTAATGAAGTCATATGTGTGTGTGTTTGGGGGAGGGGGTTGAGATCCCGTTGGTAGGGCCTCTGATGCGCAATCAGCATGGTGGTGGTGATGGGGGGGGGGGGGGGGGGGAGATAACTTCCGAACTCCGTCACACTGAGACCGAGTTCTCTGCGGAGAGTGCCGAAAATTGAGATACGGAATGGATCTAAAATGAACGCTGATGCCTTTTAACAGTTTCGTATTGGTGGTGCTAAGTTTTTAGTTGGTAAGTTATTGTGGTGCTGGTGCTGATCATGCACACTTAGACATGGACAGTAGAGCGGTGGACAGCACACTTACACACCGGCTACAGATCTGCCGTCCTTACGTCCCCTCCTGGGTACCGGGTATACACACTCAACTCGCAGCCACAACTACCAAGTTGGTCGTGAATAGCACCGTAGTTATTTCTGGACGTAGTGAATCGTTGATGTTGTAATTCTTGCTGTCTGTGAATGGGCTTGGGCTGGCTGTCCGTGCCCAATCAAAGGATTGCTGGATTTCCCCGATAGGTGTTCCGTGTTCCAAGCAGCCCCAGGAGAGTTTTGTTTTGTGTGTGTGGGTGGTGGTACCATTATCGTTTATACCAGTATTATGTACGGAAATAAAGGAAGCGTCATCTCTTTCTCCCGTGTGTATGGACATATTGCGTTGTCCATTCATCTCCCTTTGTAAGGCTGGTCTTGTCTGAGTAGCTCCGGTTGTTCTCCTGAGATTTGCATGTGTGTGATGTAACTAGACGCCTGCGTTTGTTTCGCGTGATCATAGCTCTCATAGCTCGTACATATCATATGCCGAAAGACCTTTGTACCTTGTGCGCTTGCCAGATGAATGCTAGTGACTGCACTGCGTATGGCAGTGTGACAGCCACAAGTTGACAGGAGCTGGCAGTTCTCTGGTCTGCTGATTGCTGGCGTGTGTCAGTTTTTTGTCATGTGGGCAAAAGTTTGATTTCGAGTCTGTCTGTCTGTCTCTCTCTTTGCGTACATGTATGTGGGGTACTACCGACTTCTGAAACTGTCGCTGGCTGCAGTTGCTGGCATGTGCGTGTGTCTGCATGCATGTCGTTAGTAGCAATCACTGCATAGCGTGGGCAGTGCTGTTGCGGCAACGGTGACGCATGCAAGTCATTGCCGCACCTCTTTGAATGGTCAGTGTCATGCTCGTGTGTGCATGTGCACTACAGTACTAGGCAAAGAAGCCCGTGCAGTTTGTGATTAGTCCGCACGCTTGTGCGAGTCGGTGAAGTCGGCAGCTTATAAGCTCCTCTTCTCTGTGGTTGTTGTGTTAGTTGAGCGTCATCACAGGCAGCTCTGAGCTTCTTCTTCTTCTTCTTCTTCTTCTTCTTCTTCTTCTTCTTCTTCGTCATTTCAATCGCTTTGGCGGCGGTCGCTCTCTCGGACCTTCTTCTTTTGACTTTCCCCGTGTTGTGGCCGCCTTAGGTGCGGAACGACGGACCATGGCGCTGAGGTGTGAAGTGCATTTGCTAGCGCTGCTGCTGCTGTTGCTGCTGCTCTCAGTCAGTGTAGATCTGGTGGTATCCAGGCAATCTCCGGAGTGTGCTCGCCAGCCCGGTGATACGTGCATGACGCAAATGCTGCGCGACACTGGCATCGATGCGTGCCGTCTGGGCGAGATTGAGCAGCAGCTTGCCGATGCGCGCATCACGCCGCTCATGCTGCTCAACGCCACGCGCAAGCAGCTGCGCCGGGCCGGCGTTGCCTTGCCAACCGACCGCCGATCCATTGTGGGCACGTACCGCAAGAGACCGGAGGTGCTGCGCCAGTGTCAACTCTTTGTGCGCGGCGAGGCCGAATCGTGCGCGCTGAGCCCGCGCAACTTCACGCTGTGCCAGCGCCCGTACTGGCACTGTGCGCTGCGTTCCGACGTCAGCAGCTACCAATGCGAGTGCCAGTTGCCGGAGGCCTTGTCGCCGCTTTGTCACCGGGACGCGGACTGCAAACGCACCGACGCCAGTCCTAACTGCGAAGGCCGCGGCCGTTGCGCGCTGACGTACGACGCCCCACGGCGCATCGCCTGCCACTGTCCAGCTGGCTATCGGGGCAGGTACTGCGAGAAGCCACGTCTCTGCCACCCTATCAACCCCTGCCAGAACAATGGACGCTGCCAGATGAAAGGAAAGCGAGCGAAGTGCATCTGCTCGCCGAGCTACCAGGGCCCGCTCTGCGAAGTACGCCGTGCACGTCCCAAAGTGCAAAGGCTGCCGAAGACCACTGTGCCGTCTTCAGTCACTCATTGGCGCACCAACACGACGACATCACCTCCGAGGTGGAGGGCCAGAACGACATCACCACCATGGTGGAGGGCCAGAACGACATCACCACCGTGGTGGAGGGCCAGAACGACATCACCTCCGTGGTGGAGGGCCGCCAGAACGACATCACCACCATGGTGGAGGGCCAGAACGACATCACCTCCGTGGTGGAGGGCCGCCAGAACGACATCACCACCATGGTGGAGGGCCAGAACGACATCACCTCCGTGGTGGAGGGCCAGAACGACATCACCTCCGTGGTGGAGGGCCGCCAGAACGACATCACCACCGTGGTGGAGGGCCAGAACGACATCACCTCCGTGGTGGAGGGCCGCCAGAACGACATCACCACCGTGGTGGAGGGCCAGCACAACATCACCTCCGTGGTGGAGGGCCGGAACGACATCACCACCGTGGTGGAGGGCCGCCAGAACGACATCACCATCGTGGTGGAGGGCCGCCAGAACGACATCACCACCATGGTGGAGGGCCGCCAGAACGACATCACCACCGCCATATACACCCTGGTGGAGGAGGGCCCTCACACAGAGGCCATGGACAATTCCGTCATATCATGCCGAGACCGCGCCCCCTGCCTACGGTGCCAAAACCCAATCTCCAGCCCCAGCATGGGGCGACGGCAACTTCTTATCCGATTTGTTTGACAATATCGACGAGCTGCTTAACTACACGCGCGCTCTGTTGCCAACCAAGTATCCCAGTGGCGCTGATTCCAGCACCGTTTCCGTCCCGCCAGTAGTACCACCAGTGCCACGAAACTCGTTGCTCAATCTTACCCGCATCCTCGCTGGCCGCCCGCTGTTGGATCTGGTGAAGAGCATTGGCGGCTTCTCTATTCTCAACCTGACCAGCTTGTTCCCGCCGCCGGCCAGGTATGGTCCTCCACCGACCACGCCGCGACCACCACCACCTCGCGTTCATCACGGCGCTTTCACAGCGCCGTCGCCACCCTCCGCCGATGCCGATATGGAGGGGCCGCGGCGGCCTCCTCCTCCTGTCTTCGCCCAGGACTCTCCGGACGGCAACACGACATTGGGCCACTACTATCAGTTGCTCGCTGGCCTGATGCCCGACCTCACGGACATATTCAGCGACTTGCCGTCGCTATTCCCGGGGACTGCGGGACAGCCGTCGGGCGCTAATCTAGCCGACTCCATCTCCAACCTACTCCCGCAGATTATGAGCTACGTCAACCTGACAGACTTGCTTTCTTCGCTGCCCATGCTGCCCAGCTTTCCCGTGAACCCTCCTCAGCCGGTGGGTGATTCTCCGATGACAGTCGCACCCCCACCAAGTGATTCAGATCGGCCTATCGGTGTTGATAGCCAGCAGCGGCCTGTGCTGCCACCATCTTTTTCGGACGGTTTGGACTTTAGCGACGTTTTACCGGCCAACTTTAATCTCTCGGCTTTCCTGTCGTCACCGTTCGACCACGTCTGGGGCTTGCTGGGCCCAGGCGCGTCCAGTGATGCCCCGGAACCAAGTCCGACAACTGTTCCTTTGTTTTTACAGGCCCGGGATCGTGGAAGGGGTACACCGATCAAGGGTGAGTCCGTTGAAACGTCATCCGCCGCAGACGACAGTTGGGTTGCCACAATACTGGACTACGTTAGAGGTCTTCAAAACTCCGACAAGAAGTAGGACGCAGTCGACCCGAATTCCGGCGTGCACAGTGTGTAGACGTGACGGTCTCTCTCTCTCTCTCTCTCTCTCTCTCTCTCTCTCTCTCTCTCTCTCTCTCTCTCTCTCTCCAAACTGCTGACGGTTTCTCTATACTTCACCATTGCTACTTGGATATTTGCCTTATAGGCTTACTAGGATTACATAGCATTCACGGTGTTAGGGCATTTGTCACATTCTGGTACTGGTAGTGGTACTGGTTTCCTGTACTTGCATACTGCTGCACAGCTTTCCTCTTGATTTAGTTGCTGGTTTTATACTTGCTCATGCACTGTACACAACAAGCAGACTGGCTATGTTCTGTTGTGACATGCTAGTGATAATACGTAATAGTACACTGATAACTGGCGTGCAGACTTTACTTTACTTTGCACCGGTGATAGGAAGAGTACATAACCCCAAGAGTGTGCAACTGCCTGCACAACCTCTATGCTGTGCTGCGACGGCAAAACTTCACATCACGTGACGTGGTTCGAAAGGTTACCCTGGCAAACAGTGCAACGTGACCACAAGAGAGTTGAGC